AGTTTGACGGTGGTTTTTCTCTTCTCGTTTCCCGGCCCGGGGGTGCGCCGAGGTTTTTGAGCTGACTCACAGCCCCAAGTAGGTCAGTGTCTGCTCAGCTGGAGCCCGTCCCTGTCGGTGGCTTTTCCTATCGATAACCCGTCGGGGAGGCTCCTGCGGAGCTCCTGGGCTGCCGAAGTGCTGGATGCGGCTCTGGAGGGAGGGCGTGGGGGACGAGGGCTGGCGTTTAAACTGCATTTGATGGGTGGCAGGTTGTATTGGCAATGTAAACAAAAATCAAAACCAAAACTAAGCTTTACATTTAGATTTAGGGCCTAAATTCTGGAACTAGAGCTTGGGCTTTAGCTTCACAGCCTCTCTGGGAAGTCTTGCCAGAGGCCTTTTGCATCACTCCCGTTTTAAGATGTGGCCTTAAAGAGCAAGAATCCATTGGAGTTAACTGCCAGGCTTGGAAACCCTGATGCTATCCGGGGAACAAGTATGTCAAAGGGGGTTACGGAGCAGCTCCTGAGTTCCCCAGGTTGCAGGATGGGTGCTGTGCCTTCCACGCAGGCTTTGCTCCACCGGCGGGCCAGGTGGGCAAGTCAGGTGGGAGTGGGAGTTGCCCTGGGTTTGTGGACTAACTCGCTTCGTATTGTGTGGAGCCACAAAGTCGCTGGGTATCCAGAAAACATCTGCGTGCGGAGTACGTGAAAAGTGAATGTCGTGTTTCTTCTTACAAGGCAATGCAAGGATGTTCATCGGGGTATGGGCGTGCAGTCATCTTTGAGTGACAGCCGTATTTGAAATAGGAATTTTCCACTCTTTTCTGTAATAAAAAAAATAAAATGCTATGGAGAAAATGTATGAAGCACCCCTTTTCTGAGGGAACCTGCTTTTTTAGACTGTGCCGCTGCCTGCTTGCTTTCAGCGTCCAGCACGTGTACATTTATGTGATAGCATTAACGCTTCCCATCTGCAAGCCCTGTCCTCTTGGCGACTAACGAACCGTCCCAGAAAGCCAAAATGTGTCATTCAAAGGCTGCTGGTATCCTGCTCTCCCCAGTCCTCTCCGCTTCAGGCGTGAGGTCAGGAGGGCCGCGTTACAAAACTGAGCGAAAATGAAGTCGGGCATTAATTTTGGGGCAGACCCGCACGCATGGCAGCGATCCTGAAGCTGTGTTAGTGCTGGGCCAGGGCAGGGTTGTGTCTCGCTTGGGGAGCTTTCGTGAGCAGATGGGGGGCTGAGAACGCGCCCTTCTCCGAAGAGCCGCGCTGGGCGAGCGTGAGAGCCCTCCTGCTCCGCTGGCCGAGCCGGCAGGCTGGGAAGGTGCAGCTTAGCTGCAGATGGGAATTCAGAGTGAGTTTCATACTTCGTGGATGTTTTCTCATTCCTTTGCTTAAATTACATTTTAGAAAACGTTTCCTTATGCGGTGTAGCTTGTTTGTTTGTTTTGCAAGAATTGTGAGTTAAACATGCGAAGAGACTTTGGGATCACGGCCAAGGTTAGAAATGGTTCATAGGAAGAAAGCATTTTAAGTATGTGAATAATTCCTTTGACTTGAAGTTAAGGTTGTGTTTTCTTTTGGTGTTTGGTTTTTTTTTTTCCAGTTAGCATCTAGCATGCAAACAAACATGCAGTATACATAGCTCTTGTGGCTGATGGCATCCAAAAGTGCTTCGTGTTAGGGAGCAGTGAAAGAGCAATTTTTTTTTTTTATTTTTTTTTAATCCTGTCAAGGAACAGTAAGGTTGTTTTTTTTTATTTTGTTCTTTTTTTTTGAAAGGACTCTTCTGCTCCAGAGGAACACTCAGCAGGTATGGATGCTTTTCTCAATACTACATGCCTTCACCATCAAATACCCAGTGCATGCCTACACTGTCGTGCCATGAGGTTTTTTTTGCAGCACTATGTTTAATTTTACACCCATCTCCCCTCCTTACCTCCCTTCCCTCATCAGCAAGTGAGATGGTGGAGGCAGAAGGGGAAGAAGTTCTGGGCAGGACGGTTGTACCAGCGGGGCCTTACAGCTCCGGCTGCCCCGGCGCTGGGTTTGCCGCAGCATCCCCGGCTGCCTGCCCCGCTCGGAGCCCGGGTCGGGGTTTCGCAGCCTTGTTGGCCCCGTCGGGGGCTGTCAGTGTTGGCTGCAGCCAGTCTGCGGGGCCTCTTCTCTCTAAAGCAGGCTCTTATCAGGGGTGAGCAGGACTGCCCTGTTTTGGGGGAGTGGGGCAGGTTGATTACCAGCGTGGTGACCCCTCCCTTTGGCGCTGATGGAGATGACCAAGCACCGAGCGTCGGGAGCCTTGGGGAGAGAGTCGGCGGTGCAACGTGAAACGGCAGCTGAGCCAGCACGGTTAGAGCAGTGCCGTCACCTTCAGTGGTGTGCGAGGGCTTTGGGCGTTAAGACAACTGCTTTCTGACTTGTAGAGAC